AATAATACTTCATTTCACCCCGTTCCCCGCGCTTCCTGTGTTTGTGCGCTTCAAATTTAGTTGCGTGGAGTGAGAAATCTGTGTTGCACCGGCTCATATTGGTAAGTTACATCGATTCAAAGTTTCGAAGCGGCCTCTCAGACCTTATGTCACCAATTACGTAATTTTTTAACGTAATTTTGGTATTTTCCTTTTTTCTTTTTTGACAAGTTTTTATTGTCATGAATAGTTTAGGAACCTCCAAAAAAGAATCATAAGGAATCTGAGGCCTTAACTAGTCCTCAAATTGAAGACTTCCTGGCTGAGGCAGACTCGAGCCGATGGGAAACCGAAGATATTCCTGGAAATTTCGTCTCGGAGGAAAGTGAACCACAAACCATCGAAAATAAACCAAAAATAAGGAAAACCTGTTTTATTTGTCCTCCCAAGTCAAATCGTAAATCGAATTATCAGTGTATGTCATGTAAAAAGCATGTGTGCTTGCAATGTGCGAAGCAATTTTGCCCAGACTGCCAAAAAAATAACCAAAGTTTACCCATTGTCATTTAAGTGAAATAGTACTTACGATTACTTAATAATTTTATTTAAGTTTATTATTATGTTAATTTTTAGAAAACTATTGTTTCTGTTACATTTTTTTTATAAGATTTTATGAGTAATTTTTGTTCTCACCTCAAATTTTCAGTTAAAGAGACTACCTAAATTGTGATTTAAAGTTTATTATAATTAAAATACATAGATTGTTTATATCGTCGTTTTATTTTATTATTTAATATGTTTTTTATCTATTTCTAAACTCTAAGGCAATATATCATACTTAATTACTAAATTATAAAGCCAAAACGCTTCTCAGACCGCTCGTCACCAGTCACGTTACAAAAAAACCATGTCACCAGTTAAGGGTTAAGTACGTTCATTTGACATTATAGAGTTTTAGTGGTTTAAGTGAAAATACTGAATATGGTGATTGGAGTGCATATACGAATAACAGTGTTTTATTAAAGAAATACTCGGTGGAACAGAACGACCGACACTCCCGAGGTTCCTGGAGAGTACTATTTGTCTTTAAAATGATGTAAAAAAATTATAAGTCTAGGTCAAACAGTTTCGGAGATATTAAATTACAAAGTTTTTGAAAAAAATTGAGTGTTTTCAACCCTGAGTCAGCTGTTTTTGGGACGTACTAAGGAAAAGTTTTTAATCGGTCATTGACTTCTTCATTTCTAAAAACTAAATAAACTAGTTTGTGATTTATAAGACTGCTTTCATGCAAATTCTACCAGACAATCAATAAACAAGGCAGTCAAAATTCTTAAATCGATTAACAGCCGGTTTCTGATTTGAAAAAAGTAGAAAGTATCTACTGCTTATTCTCAACAACCTAAGTTTTATTAATTTCACAAGTCGAATAGTCCTAGTTTTATCAAACTGCTATCAACTGATCATCAAAAAACTAAAATCGGAAACGAAAACTAAGTGATGTTAGTTTGAGACGTTTAGCTTTAAATTCTCAATTAAGAAACCGAGTGTAAAATTTCCTAAATTATTGTAGAGAGATCAGCCCAACATTAACCTTCGTAATTTTAAAAGAGCAATTCTCAAAAAAAATTGTTTCAATGGGGTAATACTCCTTTAACAACGGGATCGTTAATTAAACTCGATAAACTCATCTTCCAGCGAGTCATCATTAACACAAATGAACTTTGTTTTAAAATCATTAAGCAATTTGTTATTAAAATAGCATTTAAAAAGAACATTAAAAAATGCGTGATATCAAAAGACGACAAAATAATGTGAACCGAGTTCGTCCCTCAATATCAAAGAGCCACCCGCCCGCCAGCCGCCAGGTAGCTTCATAATTCTGTCGATATTTTCCGGCCGATCAGTCGCTGTCGACCTTTTGCGCTGGAGTGTTGTTGCGCATCGCCGCCTACGCACCGCTGCGAAGCGTCTTTTTTGTCGATTTTTGTTTTGTTCTAGTTCATTTTTAATAAAATTTTTGTTAATAAGATACTAGATTGTTCGTCTTGAGTGTTAAATTTAGTTTAGTGAAGATTGTGTTTAGTTTTGTGTGAAGTGTGATGTATTTTGCGCGTGCATGCACCGGCATTGAAAAGAGCGTGCTTAGCTCAGTCTTCAGTGAGGAAGTGGACATTTTCAGCATCGACTATCATTAAGATATCGGTAAATAATTAAATTAAATTAATGTATTTCGCGGTTCGTTGTAATCTGCACACAATCGATAATGCGCATGCGCGCATAGGGCTGTTAACACTTAGAAATTTAAAATTTTTACTCCATTTTTACACCTCTATTTTAAAATATTTGTCAAATAAAATGAGCGTTTGCATGTAACCTAACTTGTAACTTTCGGCTGTGTCGGTCTTTTTGTTCCTCCCAGTATATAGGTCCAGAAGTCCACCACAGACTTGTGTAGGAGTTGAGAATTTTTCCTTATGGAGAATTAGTCTTCCATGAATATTGAGAGATTATCATATATGCAATTTTTTCGGGTAGATAGCCGAAAAAAAAATACAGATGACATTTCACGATGTTTAAAAATTGACCACTACATTCATGAACTTACAGCTCGGAAAGTAATAAACAAAAGAGAAACTATATGTTTTGTAAATTTTGTAAATTTACTTTCCGACTTACGTAACCCTTTGAAACATGCGTACTTTTTGCAATAATTTTCAATTCCAGCATTATTTGGACATTTATGATCACATCAGACTACAAAGCTGTCAAAATTCTACAGTTGGATTTAATGAAATTAACTGGAGAATGACATATTGTGGTAACCTAACGTGCAGCCGTGTGTACAATAGTACGACTCTCGTCCACATACTCATTCTCATCAATTACAAAAATATTGAAACTTGATCTTGTTGAACGATTTAACAAATTTATTTTCAAAAAATATAAACACGTCTACAAGCACAGTAAGATAATTAAAAACTTATGTTTGTTTTCATTTTCCTCAAACATATCAACCACTTGAGTTCGTGTGTGATACATTCGTTCATGTAAACAGTTGTAATGTAATAATGAATTATATTGGAATGAACTTATCATTATGAGAGCACCAAAACATAGCGCATAGATAAGTGTGGCCGTACAGCTTAATGGACGAAATAAATCTGTACCGCTATTCTGAAAACTTCTTGATTATTAATGTTACTACTGGTTAGGTACACGCCTTCTTTATGGATGGAATAGGAATAACGGGCCATGACTTACCACGTAGACTAATGCGAACACGTGACTGTTAATGCTAGCTTTACACTTATAAAATTCTTAGTGGTTGATATAATTCTGAGTAATCCAGCATTTCTCGGTAACTAAAATATTTTCACTTCCTTGTTTGCGAATTCAAGCGTCGTTCATGCTGAATTTCCAATTTAAATCTTAGATAAGTTTAAAGATGCCATTTTGTTAGGCGGCAACAACAAGAGCGTTAATTGTTTGAATAATTATCGACTTGCTATTTAATTAAACTCAAACGAAATTAATCGTTTGTTACTCGTAGCTTAAAAGATAGCAATAACATTTAGTGGTGTGAAATCTTAATATGATTCTGCTTCTGCTGCGTTTGGGTGCAGACAATATATAAGTGTAAGGTGCAGACGATGGCCGAGACATGACGTACTCCTTATGTATATACATTCGTTGCGTACATATGCTCCGTGACTGTGAAACATACAGCCATCGTTCATCTATAGACAGGAAAAGAAAATCAGGGCACTTCTTTATATAATGATTTTTCTTGCATTTATAGAACTCTATATTTATTCTACTCGTTCTCATAATAGGAAAGTTATTACCTCTGTACTGCTTGGTGTCTTTCGTGTCAACTGAAGAATATATGTTAGGGCAACTTGCAATTTCAGCTGTAGATTTTGCTACTTCCATCAAATACTTGATATCTTCGAGGGAAATGACACTCATATCTCATCGTGACTTGTCTAGTTCCCACTGATATTTCAAAACTGACGGTAATTTGGCCAGCACACACTGTAATGTCTGTCTCTGAACTCCGGTGACGGTAGATCAAATGAATATGAGCAAAGAGAAACACTGGAACATTGGGAGACATCTCTAATGTATTAGCAGTCAAATAATTCGCATTTCTTATCTATCACCATGTACAAACTGTTGGTGGACTGGTCTAGAGCAGAGAAATATAAGAAAGCGCGCTACTGAATGCAATCAGTTGCATTTAGTAGCGGTTTGTAGCGTATAGGTGCAGTTTTTATGTCTTATGAATAAAATATCCATAATCTTGACATGGGACTTATAATAAATATTTATGTTATCCGAGCGCATCAAACGTGACAAAAGACCAAACCTAACTATTTCCAACGTGATAAAATTGTAGTTATTCTAATGTTGCCAGTGCCAAATAACAAAAACTTGAATTTGAAGTTGTAAAAGCCATTATAATTCAATGTCAAAACAAGACGCAATAAAAGAAATAATAATAATCTAGATTGAATAACGATTTAGTTGAAGCAAAAAAAAACGTAAGAAAATGTATAGTAACTTTTTTCTATCTTTAAAAAACAGCACAACACCGTCGCGCAGTGCAAACACTCACGAGTCATCCGCAGCGTAAAATTCCAAAAGCAAAGCGTGAATTTAAAATACTATCCTATTAAAAACATCTTAATAGATGTTTTAAAAATTACCCAGAATAACCCAAGACAATACGAAAATCAGGGCATATCCTCGGGAAACAGTAACGTTGGAATACCCTAAGATAATATTACGTACCTGAGTTGGATGCAGCGGCTCTATGTAGAATCCTGGATCCTTTCTCCGCTTATCGAGGGTATTCCGCAAGTACACGTCCTTTGACAGTACCCTTTGAGGCTAGTCTTAATGGCAAAAGCCCATAATTTACGGCATAATGTATAATTCTCTGTGTTAATATAAAAAGGTTATTAGATAGCTACATGTAATCATATAAAGTAAGATATAGTTTTCTATTGTTTTAGAAGTAAAGTAGCAGCCTTACTGTTGGATAAGCATCTTCAGATCAATGGTATTATGGGCGAGGTAATGCGAGAGAGGCAAAGTATCCAGATGCAGCCTATGGCCAGCAGCAAGATGAAGAGGGAAAGGAAAGCAGCAAGGACGCTTGGAATCATCATGTCTGCATTCTTAGCCTGTTGGCTTCCTTTCTTCTTGTGGTGAGTGTTTAAAGACCGTAATCTGTTTGAAGGACCACGAAGAATAGGTACCTATATTCAACTGTGATAATTTATTTGCTAGTTTTATTTAATTTGATATAAATTAACGAGAATAGAGTACATTTCAATATTCTTCTTTGAGTTATATATTAATTATATTATCTTCATATTTTTTACATCATACTGAAGTCGAAGACATTAAGTAAAATATAATTCGGTCTCCTGATGAATGTATAAATATTAAATATTTTTAATCAATACGCCAATTAGTTAGAATAGAAATAAGCCTTTTTTTCTTCTTAATATTTTCTATATTACAAAATAATTATTCATCAAATATTTAAATATCCATTAGCTTGCTTAAAATGGAATTATATGAATTATTATACCATTCTATTGTATATTGTAATTCTTCTTTAGTCCATTATATGAAATTTAATACCACAAAATTCACCCCTGAACTTCCATTCTCTATTTATAAATTGAGCTAAATATATTTTAAGCCGTTTGAAGATAGGTTCAGTGTACTGTTTTAACTTTTGGCATTTAATAATTTCCGCAAATCTTTTTCTTACTTTAGCTTAGTATGTTTCCAATTTTACTTAAAATCGGAGTGATAAAACTTCCTCTTTCAAATGTATCGTTCGACTAACTAGCTATATTCTTAGCTCAATATTATATAACACTATATTTTTAACATAGTATTTTTACATGTTCTTTGGCCAAACAATAGGGATGACCACTGGGTAAAAACAGGAAATTCTGTTTATCTGTCACTCAGACAATAGAAAAATATTAGATACGAATTTTTTACTTCAATTTAACAAGAAATAGAATAGACAACAGGCATTAAATGAAATAGATTAGATAAAGTTGAGGAGTGGGAGCTCGCTACGTCATAGTTTTGTAGAAAATGTACAAAAACGTGACGTCATGTGACATTTGTAAAAAATGTGTCGCCGTAATTTTCAACAATCTACTTGACGAACAAATAAACAAAAGTTAGTCGTCATTCCTATTATAATGTATTTCTATCATTTCTTTACTTTTCAGCGAGTGCTAATTTATTATCCAAACTATTTTTTATATTATTGCTGCGAACTATTTTTATGTGTGTTCAATTTTTTTTTGTATTCAATTTCACTTAGTAACAGATTGGTTTAAATGTTTTTTAAATTGAGGAAACTAAGCATTACTATGGACGTCGACAATACTCAAGGCAACAGCAGTTAAGCTTTACTAAAATGTTTCCCTTTATGACATCATCTATTTTCATCTTAATAAGTTCCAGAAAATTATTGTATTTGTCTTCCTCAGGTACATAATAACAGCATTATGTGGGTCCGCATGTCCATCCCCACCCCCCGTCGTGGCAGCAGTCTTCTGGGTTGGATACTTCAATTCCGCTCTCAACCCTCTTATCTACGCGTATTTCAACAGGGACTTTAGGGCTGCTTTCAGAAAAACATTGGACTCTTGCTGCAGGTACGTATAAAAGTTAATATGTCTATATACCATATCGATATTCTCTTGTTCCTTAGTACGTAATTTCTTTTTCATAAAGACAAATGTTGCTTTATATTTATTTATTAAATACACAATTATTTATATTTTTATATTAAAATCGATATTTAAATTATCATATTTGAAAATAGTTACTTGTGCAATTCGATGTAGTTATCTTTTTCTACTTTGTTTTTGCTGCGGTCAAGCAAAACACTGGTTTAATTTACGTTTGTTTAATTATAATTAAAATTGGTTTTATTTAATTTTATAAATTTTCTTTTAGATTATCTTCATGCTTTGTTCCGCAATCTACACGTAGAGTTAAACTGGTCTCCTTAAGATATTCATTTACACGTACGCCAACAATAACAACAAGAATTACGATACGAAGAGGTAATATTACCTTGTAGACTTCAATATCGAACTTCACAGGTCTAGTCCCAATGAAGTGTCGCATATCCGTTTCCATTTTATGACCCCATATTTTATTCGATTTTAGTATCCGCATATCTTTTTACCCATTGCTATTGTAAAAAACTAATATAAGAACATTTCCAATGAGTGTTAGTTATTTGTTGCCTTAATTTCGATTCTTTATTTTTATAATTATATAAAAAGTATTTTTATTTTATTTTTTGTTTTTCAAATTTTATTTTAATTGCTACAGTATTTTTTTTTCTATATGACTCAACATCACCCAGGACATTAGCTAAACTTTATCAAAATTCCATTTCTTCCTTTGTTTCTTAACATCTTGCTTATATTCTGTTACGTGAATATTACAAAAGGATTCCCTTTAATAGAGATTCCAAAAAGAATGGGAGAAGAGATCTAACCAAACACAAACATGTCAGTTTTATTTATATGAACGAGTGTGTTTGTGGCGCGTTTTCTTCGGGATTTTCTAATATCTTTTTATGTTCTGTGGTGTGTAGTGTAACAAACCTCATTTCCGTGTCGAGAGTCTGATGATTCACTACGAGTGAATTATAAATTTCTCTATTTTAACAGGTCGCTCTGTGGAAATGTAGGCCGTAAATGTTGCCACCGTCCGCGTCGCGAGCATCATCACTCCAACGCTTCATCAGACATTCATATGAACAATTGTATTAAGTCAACATCGGCCGACGTCTTAAGAGCTCATCAAGCATCGTCTTCGAGACCCGAAGATCTTATGGTAGAAACATAAAAATATATCCAATCGGTGTGGGTTAAGGTTGTGAATTGATTGTGAAGAAATTTCCCGAATTCTCACCAATAACAATCGTCTTATTATTCTGTCTCTTCTATTATAATTTTGTGATTAATTATGGTTAAATTTATACTCTAACAAATTGTTTAATTATTATAAAGGTTCTGCGAAGATCTCCTGTTAACTATAAATATATATTACGAAATTGTTTCCAAGAATTGAACCAACTTTATGTAGAATTGAGGTCGCACAGAAATAGATTAATTTGGAATGAATGGCTCAGAATAATCGACAGTAGACGCATATATTTCAACTTTAATTTATTAAAACGATATACTAATATTTCGTTGTTCCTTTTCTGGAACATGGCTTTAAATATATGTTATTAGTCTGAATTCCGTTTTTAAATTAGATCTATTAGATTTTGGGCAGTAAGTTCGCGGTATTGTTGATTTACCTTGTAGCAACTCAATAATTAATGGAATATATTTTAGAATATGATTTTATTTTAATGATATTTCTTAAATAGTTACTTCTGGAATATAAAATTATGAAATGTAAAGGTATTAATGTCAATGAATAAATATATATATCGTTAAATGCTTTGATCTGAGTGTAGCAAATATTTAAAATTAAATATATTTATATAAATACAATAGTACGTGGTATGTGTAACCTTTTTTCATATTTTTTGGACTCATATATCATAATATTATTAGTTGTATTAATTATCAATACTCACTAATATTATTTATGTCACAGTCGTTTAGCCTATGATACATAATTTGCAATGAACAATAACAAGTAATAACAAAAATAACTCTTAAGTCTTAAAACAAAACTAAAAATAAACATTGGCAGACATGTTACTTTTCAATGAGTACCAATGCACCTGTGACTTCCGCACTTAACGTTTGAGTTCAAATTTAAGTTAGGTAATATTTAACTATCCGTACTCCATGTGTCCATGTGTACAACATTCAATAAAAGATAATCATTTCAGGAAAAATATCTTCTAATGACAAAAACGCAGATATTGCAAAAATCCGAGTATAAGTAATCCGATACTAGAGGTAGGTAATATGATAACTTAAAAGTCACGTCCGTTAATCTTGTTACAATATTCTGCAAGGTACATAACGCCACAGAATATCAAACATCAAAGAGATCATTCATAGACTCGTTACAGTGTCTAAGAATTCATTTTTAGAAAGCAAATGGAGGTATTATAAGATTTCATCTTATTAAAGACAAAATTAATATTCAAAGTATCTAAGCAGTCGCATAAATTCAGTTGAAATGTCGGGCAAATCCCTGAATGCAGTGAGCAATCCTATATTTAATTACCGGTTTTATATCAAAAAAGAATTATCTAATCTTATTGAAAATCAAAATTGTCTAATCCTCTTTGCTCAGATCTCGCTGGTAATATTGGTGAATAAGCAGCTCCAAGTGTTTTCAATATTGATAATTATAGACATGAAAAAGTGAAAGCGAAATTAATAAAGGCGCATTGAAATGGCGAATGCCTTGCATATCATTACTGAGACGCATTTTATGAACCCACTAGATCTTGGTCATTAAACGGCTCCAGCATAAATTCAGTCTAACAGGACTCTCAATAAAGTTTAAATTAGTTGAGATAAATCTAGTTCTCTATGAAGGTTGAACCGATGATATTAAGCGTTGGATTATGCAATAGCCATTCGAGGACGCAGATAACGATCTAATACGTTTCAATTAAAGTTTTAGAACAATTGAAATATCACGGAGGAGTTCCAATAATTCAATCGGAATTGTGGTTCAGTCATTCGGTTTGTTGAATTACGAAAACGATATTGTTTTTGTTTGATTTTTAATTTGTAGAGACTAAAACAAAATGTCTTACTGTATAATGGATGAAATGATCATACTCAATTCAGCTTTAATTTTATTGAATTGCCTTTAGCATCATTAGAGTAGAGCTAATTTTGACTTCTACTCTTTGTACATAAGTTAAAATAAAGAAAAATCTCACTTTTCTATGTACTATTAGGTAACCGTGGTAATAATTATAAATGTTTTAACTCCTGCTAACCCATATTCATTTAACAACCGACTGTATAAAATCATTATGTTCAATGTTAAGGAATGTGTGAATTTAATAAACGTTTACATATCTTTAGTGAATGTGGCAATTACTAGTGCCAAAATAAATGTCATTGTTAGTAATAAGTTTCCTTGTAAATAAAACCTGAGAGATATTATATATAGACCCTATTTTGTGAGTTTTTTGTACAGAGTGTTTGAGTATTTACTATGGTGTAATAATACATAAGTCAAAATAATAAAAGATAACGTAAAATAGTTAAGTGAATAGAAGTTAATTAAAATTATAAAGAAAAATGTTCAATACTTAATAACGATTATAAATTAATAACGTGTTGACATTTATAAATAGTTTAATACATCTGAAATTGATGCATGTTTTTAGCACATTATGATAGCTGCGATTACTATTATACTTTTATTTTTGTTTTACTATGGAAAACTTTTTAACATCCATTTAGATACTTGAATAAATAATATTTGTAACAGGTAAAAGATCAACTTGTCTCAACACGGAAGGTGATTAGACTTTTAATCACCGTTTACCACTTATAAGCATGTAGCTATCACATTTAACAAAATTAAGAAGCATTGAATGATAACATTTATTTTTTCACCATCTAAATTAGCACTAAGGAAACAAAATTGCCTACTTGACAGTTGTAACAACAGTAGATTGACAGTTATAACTTATATGTAAATAATAATTATGTAGTATTAGTCGTTTTTAAAAATTGTAAGTATATCTTATTTTTGCAAAATTAAGCTGCTGTTTATCATCTGCGTGTAATCCGCAGAACGAAGCGCGGGCGGACGGAGTATCATGTGACGTCACATTTCAATAAACAAAACGTAAACATCTTATTGCTAGTATCACCAGTACTCGTTTACTGAAATGTTTCTTAGGTCAATTTAAATTGATAAATATATGTTTTTCCTTTACTTAAAACGATTTTTAAAATACTCTCCTAAAATAGTCAAATAGCCAATTTATAAATTTAATTAAATTTATTACTACAACCAAAAATCAAGTTTCAGTCTTTCGAAATCGCCAAATTTACTTAACCCAAACCACTGACCGATTTTAAAAATTTGGTATGGGTATTAAACAATATTGCTCTTTATTGTTTTCACCATTCCATTTTAGTGTTGATTTCAAGAATTGCTTATTTTTACTTTATTAAATTTGATTACATCATATTCGATCGAAATTTTTCATAAGAGGGATCGTCTTATCCTATCTCCGGTAAAATTAGTTTCCCTTCCGATGCTTATCTTGAGACTCGTTCGAGACGATAAAAAAAGTTTTCATGTCAGCTTTTGTGAGCTCAATCGATGGGAAAATAATACTTTCAGAGAGTTCTTATATTAGATTTATTCTTTAAACGATCCTTTATATTATCTCTGCAGATTAAAGCAGAATCGAGCAATTATTCATTTTAATCTTTAGAATTTTCTTCTGTAATAATTACACACAAACGAGATACGATTATTATCTTTGAAATAAATTGCAAGTTTTGATTTAACCTACCGTATTAGCTGATGAGGATCTTGCAAACTAAATTTGACCCACTTTTTTCGATTGGGTAATTTTTTTTCATGCAAATATGATTTGCATAATAATATAAAACTGATCTTGAAATCGGAAGGTAGCTATGGAAACTGAACTGAAAAAAAGTATATTATTAAGTACCTAATATTTATTATTGTTTAGGCGAAAATAGTAATAGCATTGTTAGTTTTTGTATCCAATCTATTTTTTCTATAAGATAAATACTAATACATTATGTCATTGACTAGCTTCATAGCGGTGTGGCTTAAGTAAATTTAGCAATGGTCGGTGATAAGTTGGTCGACCAAAACTTTATCATCTCGAACTACTTCGTGATTCGGCAGGCACTTTATGTCGTTGATTCCAGCGGTATCTGCAGTCGTTAATACCCATTAATCCACACTGAGTCCATGTGGTGTTTTATTGAGAAATAGGACATCGTATAATGGACGAAAAACATATTCGTCAAATATTTACAAATTTGTCCATTAAGGATTAAATTGAAAATAAATCCATTCACCAACATAAAGTTATTTATAAAAAATAGTTAAAGGTGTTATAATGAAAAATAGTCTCATTCTAAAAGCATTTAATCTTTGGGAAAATAGTTACGCTTATTCTAGTACCATAAAATTTATTAAGATTGCTCGTAATCAAATCAATTGTAGCTATAAACTTAACTGACCAGAAGTTAAGGCTCACTTATAAACTTTAATATTTTAAAGTATCAAACATAGCCCATTGAAACAAATTGCAGATAATATATTTTTTTTTTGTTTTAAGTAAAGTGACCTCTTTGCGTCAATTTATGCCAAATAAAATATACCTCACATACAATTGGAGCATTCTAAGTTTTTCTAATGAGTCGGAACTTTTGCTCATCAGTTTATTTATAAATAAAAAAAACTTAGTACTGCATAACTTTAACGCATAATAGACTAGTGTAATACCCTTAATTACACGGAAAGACGGTTCATTTTAATTGAAATATCCTAGACATGCATCTATTTCATTAACAGAAAATTATATTACATTCTTATATTTTAATGAAATAATAAAATAAAAATGTGATGACGCAAGGGTATATTTTAAAATGCAATTGATATAAAACTTAATATTATTAATAAAATAAATTGAATTTATTTAATAAATGAATATGTAAGTGTAAAGAAGTTTCTAATATTTATATGCTTTGATGTTAAGTGTAAGTAATTTGATGTGCACACATATTTTAGAATGTTATTTGTGATTTCATTATTATTCAACCTTTTTTGTTTTCAATCAGGACTCACTCCTGTATTGAAAATTCAATTACCAGCATCAATTCATCAGTTATATATTTATCTGTAATTGGAAA